CCCACCTGGCCCCCCCCCACCCCTTCCATTCGCCCCCCCCCACCAGTGGTGGCCTGACGTTTCTCAAAGCACTCGTGGCAGTGAGGCTGCGTGTCCACAGACACGTAGAAGGTGCATCGCGGCGTGGCACAGCGGATCTCGATGAGGGACAGCTGTGAGACAGAAAAGGGGGGGGGTCGCTGAGGCTGGGCGGCCCACGCCTGTTCCTTGTCTTCCTGCCAGCGCTGGTACTCGTGGTTGACCAGCTGCAGGTAGTCCTCCATCAGGTTCATGTCCTCAGGCAGGTTGCCCTCATCCAGTCTGAACACAGACAGAAACACGGAGTAAGTTCTGGAACAAAGATCTGCCCCGGAAAACAGAGGATGAAGAAGAAAAGTAGACGAAGGAGAACGGGACAGATGAAGGAGCAGTGACATCACGCCCCGGTCCTGCAGGTCAACACCAACACACCAACACACCAACACACTCAGAGACAGGACTGGTCGGGCTTGGACCTCGGCCGGTACCTTGCAGCGTTGATGATCCGTAGGACGTCGTAGCCCAGACCTATGACTGGGATCTCGACCAGAACCAAGTAGTCTTTGAGAAGCTTCTCCCTCTGCTGCTGTTCCTTCTCCATCAGGAAATGGACCTTGAGCTCCTCAAAGTCACTGCGTCCTGGATTTATCAGTGGCACGGCTCTGATCTCTGGAAAAAGAAAAAGACAAACCGGACTTGAGGTCTGAGGTCCAAGTCCAGGACTTTTTATTGGTCAGCCAATCAGAGAGCGCGTCTCGTTGTTGTCCTCTCCTACCTGGGCCACTGTCTTTAATGGTGATAAGAGGGGCAAAGTGTTGAGAGTCGTAGCCCAGCACGATGGGGTATTTGTAACACTCTGCTGGAGCCCACTGGAGGGGCAAATAAACCCCCCCCACATTTAAAGGAGAGATGGAGGAGCCAGACTTCATACTCCTGACAACCTGATCTGGTAAAAACAAAAACAAAAACAAACAACAAAACAGTGAGGTTCCATCTTCCTCTAACACCAGTCTGTGACAGGACAACGTTTACCTGCAATAACGATGATGGGTCTGCGGAGGATGTTGGAGAGGATGAAGATGTGAATGTCCTCCAAAGAGTCAAACTGTAGACCATTACTGCTGGAGACCGGAGACGCCATCTTCACGATCTTCTCCCACTCATCCTCCCAGTTCTTCAACAGAAGAGGAGAAGAAGTCAGCATGACTGTGATAATGGTCCCAACACTGAGCCCACAGACCGGCAGTGGCCCCTAGTGGCCCAGAGTGGACCTGCAGTCACTTCAACAGTCTTGTTTGTGTGACGTTTTATACAGTATGTGTGTGAGTAGAAAAACCACCAGACAGGAAGTGACATCACAATCAAAACCATCGTTATTTTAAGTTTGGGAACATGTCCCGAGGTTAGCATCAGTGTTAGTGTTGAAGTCTGTACATCATCAATCATTTAGAAATGAACAATAATCCCTTATTTTGAGAACCGTCCTTCCAGTGGACACCCACGAGGGGTCACTGTTGTAACAGTCAACAGCCTCGTGTGTAAAATATGTAAAAGTGGTTAAATCATTTGTTAAATTGTTCAGTTTTAAATGCACATGGAGAGGGGTCAGAAAGGTCACCACGTGGATGTGGTGACCCATGATTCAGTTCTTCTTTTTGAAGTTTGTCAAACACGCCTTAAAGTAGACGATTTGTATCAGGAATGGGCCACAACCCCCCCCCCCACGTACCATGGTGGTGTAGCGGAGTCCAGTCTGGGTGAACTCCTGAGACTGAAGCAGCTCGGCCTGGAATCGAGCTCTGAACGCTCCTGTGTCTGTGTCCTTTAAAACACTGTGGAGAGTTTTCCTCAGGACCAGGTCTGTGTCCTGGACGCCCAGCATGTACTGAGAGGCTGCATGGAGCAAACAGTTCCCGTCAGGTACAGGACACACACACACACACACACACACAGATCTGTTCATGTTATAATACGGACCGTTTCCTCAAATTGTAAGAGAATCCTGCGTTCGATTCCCAGAGCGACCACATGCTAGCAGCAGCCTGTTAGCATCATGGCTAACACAGGACTTTACCAGAATACTGGATCAGTTCACTGACACGTGATGATAAAAAAACGAGAGAAAACATGTTGATGATTTTGAAAATGTTCACATCCACTTTGTGTGTAGAGAACAACAACATGACACACACACACACACACACAAAGGTAATGAAAGGCCGGGGATTTCCAGAGTGTCATCAGACGGAGGAGTTCTAGTTCTAGTTCTGTTTCTAGTTCTAGTTCTGGTTCTGGTTCTGTGCAGACACTGAGGTCCGACCTGAAGAGGAACTGAACCTGAGGACTTCAACCACGGCACACTTTAACCAACCTCTGGACTGAGGTCCAACTGCTGTAACGACAGGTTCAAAGACCCTCCTTAACTCACACACTCACACACACACACACACACACGGACACACACAGACACACACACACACACACACACAGACACAGACACACACACACACACACACACAGACACACACACACACACACACAAAGGTAATGAAAGGCCGGGGATTTCCAGAGTGTCATCAGACGGAGGAGGTCTAGTTCTAGTTCTGTTTCTAGTTCTAGTTCTGGGTCTGGTTCTGGTTCTAGTTCTGGTTCTGGTTCTGGTTCTGGTTCTGTGCAGACACTGAGGTCAGACCTGAAGAGGAACTGAACCTGAGGACTTCAACCACGGCACACTTTAACCAACCTCTGGACTGAGGTCCAACTGCTGTAACGACAGGTTCAAAGACCCTCCTTAACTCACACACTCACACACACACACACACACACACACACACACACACGTCACAGAGTTTCCTGGTACAGAGCAGACAAACATCTGCGGGATCTTCCCGTGTTACAACATCAACGGAAGAGAAAACATGACTCAGCAAAACACCGTGTGTGTGTGTGTGTGTGTGTGTGTGTGTGTGAGGCAGAGTAAAACCCAGATCTCTGTGGAATAAACCCTGTAGTTAGTTAGTTAGTTAGTGTAACTATCAGTAACTCAGCCAGTGAGTAATAACACCTGAGAGTGTGTGTGTGTGTGTGTGTGTGGGGGGGGGGGGGGGGGGGTGTTGGTACCGTTGGTACGTAAGGGCACCATCTTCTTCACCTCCCGGCACCAGTTGAGCTTCTTCTCCTGCTCCAGCGACAGCTGCATGGCCCGGTCCAGGATGGCGGCCTGGACCACCTCCCTGAAGGCCTGGGGGAAGTGGTTCATGGCGATCATCTCCAGCGTGTACCTGTGCATCCCTCGGAGGTGGTGCATCAGAGCGGAGCTGGAGCTGGAGCTGGAGCTGGAGCTGGAGCTGGGCTTCACCACGTCGTTGGGGACTCGCTGCCTGATCTTCACCGCCTTCAGCAGGTTGGAGACAAAGAGAAACTTGGGGAGGAAGTTCTGCCCCTGTGACATGGTAGACGGGTGGTGGACGGACGGACGGACGGACGAAGGGAGGGGGGAGGGGGCGCCCACGTGGACACTGTGTGAAGAGCAGGAATTAGAGGAGTTAGAGCACACCCCCTGCTGGACTGGCAATGTAATAACATGGAAGTTTCCATTTTAGATCAAAAGAACTCTATATCATATGGATCTACAGCCTGACAACATGACGTCACCGTTAGTACAAACACTACTGCCCTGACGCCTGTGGGGGGGGGCGGGGGGGGGTCATGTCAGCTGCTGTAGACCGCCCTGGTCAACTACCACAGCAGGGGGTTATTCACAGAACAGGAGGACGACGTTAGTTTGGACTAGAAGGTTTTAGTCACTGTGACACACCACCGCACCACTGCACCACTGTGTGGCCAGTGCCGTGCTCAGTGGTAACTTGGCAGCTGGTGGACTCAAACCTGAAACCTTCCAGACCCAAGTCTGCTTCCTCAACCACTGATCCCCGACTGATGTAGTGCCCCCCCCCCCCAGGTAATGACCTGTACATTTGACCCGGTCATTGAACGCAACACTTGGTTCCAAATGCTCGGTCACCTGAGACCCTGTGACCCGGACTTCCGGACACATTTCTTCAGCCCCGGCGGCAGACACGGCAGACGCGGCCCTGTCGGAGCCTCACACACTCAGACAGTTCAGACAGTTGCCACTGACGCGGACATCGGAGCGTGTTTTTGGGCCGTCCGTCCGTCCGTCCGTCCGTGTGGAGACCGTGGGGCAGACACTGCTGTTGTGTGTGTAACCGCGCGCACACACAACATGAGACTTTGCTGACGTTGGAGCCTTACGTAATTCCAATGACAACTACCTTTGAAACAATGTAGCGTCGCCGAACCCGGGACACAGTCGACTTCACTACGTTCGTTTGGTTCTTTCATTGACGACCGTGTGTCGATCCGTCTGACGGGGGCGCTTTTCAAACATCGGCTGTTAAAGCCACTGTCGTACAACAGCTTTGAGCTTTTTCCTCCACGTCCCTACATTAGTTCAGGCCTAAACCCTGGTGTTGGAGCCCGCCCCTTACAACAACAACAACAACAACAACAACAACAGGAATACTAATATTAACGACAGCAAACACAACCGTGATCCGTGTGGGTCGCGGTTTGAGACGATGACATGTGGAGACTGAGGCGGCAGCAGCAGCAGCAGCAGCAGCAGCAGCAGCAGCACAGTCGTCTTACCTGTGTAAATGTCGGGGCTAAAAACAAAGCCCTGACAGATCCTCAGGCTCGGTTCTGATCCACGGCGCCATTCAAAGCCTCCTTTCTCTTCACCGTCAGGCTGAGGAGCCTTTCACAGAAGGTCACATGTTCTCTACCCATAGTTTGTTTAAAAGGAAACAGTCAAGGGGATTTCCACACGGGGACTTTCCGTCCAGCCATTTTCCCCTCCCTCTCTCTCTCTCTCTCTCTCTCTCCCTCTCTCTCTCTCTCTCCCTCCCTCTCTCTCTCTCTCTCTCTCTCTCTGTGTGTCTCTCTCTCTCGCGCGCGCCCTCTCTCTTTCTGTCACAGCCGGGTGCAGTTATACACCTCAGCCGTCAGAGGTCACTGTATATCCGGGAGTCAACAACGATGAGCATTTCCGGCCTGCTGTGAACCAGGCAGCGTCACAGAGACAGACGAACAGAATCCATCAGGTTAAAGTGAAGCTGTTATTGAGTCCATATTTATATGTAAAGTCTTTTAATGAATACGATGTTTGTGACGTCGTATCAGTTCTAACAGGGCGTGGACAAACGTTATTACATTTATTCAGTAGTAATTAGCTCTGCTGCCGCCGGGGGCATTTGTTAACGTCGGCACTGCTTCAACCTTCATCCTTGACCAACGTCGATCAGAGAATTTGATTTTTTAAATTTATAATTATGATAATTATAATAATAACATAAAAGTAAACGTTATTTGAGAGGCAAGAACATTAACTTAATACTAACTCCTTAAACGAGGAAGAATAAAAAAATGTAGGAAGCAAGTCTGCCCCCTAATGGTACTGACGGAAAAGGAGAAGGACAAAAAGGTGGAGGACGCGAAGCACTTCATTATTGATTGAATTCTTTGACATTTATAAAATAATAAAGAATAAAATGACAAAACGACTTCAGTGATAAAAATAAATTGTTTTATTTGTGCTGTAGGGCAGTGGTTCTCAAGCTGTGGTACCACTGCTGTAGGGCGTGAAGTCACATGGTCAGTGCTAACACGCTGTTGAGAAGGTATTTTTAGATTAGTTTCTTCATGAACTGAAGGACACCTGGAGACAAACCTGGCCTTTACTCACATACAGGAAATGACCTCAGCAGCCACAGTAAATCCTGATCTGACCTGACCTCAACAGCTGACCTTTGACCCCGTTGGTCACCTGCATGTCTTGTTTACAGACAGGTGTTTGTTTGAACCATCAGATGTTCAAATCTTCTCCTCTGACCGTCGCTGGTCGAACCTGTTGTCAGTATTTCTCAGCCATGTGTCATGTTTTTGTCTCCACCCAGGGAGATAGACACCAGAGATTTGTTAGAACTTGCTGAGGAGTGTTTCAGGGTGTGTCTCTGGGTGTGTCCACAAAGAGAATTTATGACACACACACACACACACTACATTCAAACTCTTTAACCCTTTCCACAAACTGTGTGTCTATCATTCAGAAACATCAACATCAGGAAAATCAGAGCTAACAGACAGATGTGGCTTTTCTCTGGGGCGTGGACCTGGATCGGCTCAGGACTCACAACCGTTGTTCCAGTGAAGTCGTCTGATCAGAAAGACTTTGAACGTAGATACAGATGAAAAGATTAGTCACTCCGATGATCAAACCACCACACGATTCCATGTTGTTTTTGAACAACATGGTGTCACCACAGCCACTCCCTGGAACTCTCCAATCAACCCTAAATTTGTTTTTCTTTTGCCACCTTGGGGTTGTTTTTTTTTAAAGAAAGGCACTAAATAAATCCCACTTATTATTATTATTATTTATTATTATTCATCCACTAACGAAATGCTTTAATGTGCAACTTTGAACCTAATACATATTAAGAAACATAACACGTGAGTGTGTTAGTAAAAGTGTAAAAGTGTAAAAGGTAGAAAACAACAACACAACACTAAACCCACACACAGAATCAGATGTTCTTTCTTTTCAAAAAATCTAAATCCAATTAATCAAAGTAGAAGAAATCCATCTGTCTGACAAACACCATCTGCAGCTGAGAGAGAAAATTAAAACATTTATATATTTACGTTTTTATAGACATAAAAACAACAAAAGAAAGTCCCCGTCCAAATCATGTCGGTGCTACGGTCAGTGACTATTACAGCAATCCTGGAAAGTCAAAATAAAAACAGCACAAAAGATGCAAACACGAGTACAAAAACATTCCCACATAGAAACCCCCCCCCCCACTGGGTCTTCCTTTAGAATTCACCTGATGTACAGCTATATCCAAACTGAAGCGTCGTGGAGACAAATCCACTCCAACAGTCGGGAGAACAAAATCAAATGATAAGTTGATTTTTTTTTTACATTAGTTTTTCAACATTTTTAAAAGTTAATTAAGGCAAAGACCGGACTCTACTGATAAAGACTGGACTCTACTGATAAAGACCTCCCTCTGGTAAGTGCACTTGGGTAAACTTCCATTCAGTTAGTGATGCCAGGTCAAAGGTCAGGAGGAATGTGGAATATTTGGACTAAAATAAAGAATGACGGCAGGGAGCGCTAACACTGGGATGTCAGGAGGCTGGAATTCAAAAAAGGATTCAGATCCAGACAAAGAGAAGAGGGCTGTGATTGGTGGAGAGGGTCAGGTGGCCTCTTCAGGCTGAAGAATAGATGTATTTGGTCTTGGCCAGGCCGGTCAGCTCGTCCTCGTAGCGCGGCAGGCAGCAGAAGAGAACAGAGCAGCCGATGCAGAGGATGGTGGCGCCCCAGCCGAAGCCGTAGGCCCAGGTGTAGTAATAATGACCCTCAAAGATCAGGTCGTTGAACTTGACGGGGTAGATGATCAGAGCGATGATCTGGAGGATCGCTGCAGAAACAACGGCAGAAAGTCTTTGTCAAAGTTTGACTTTGAAATTTGAAAGTAGAACTGAGGCCAACAGAAATACTTCATACATAAAATACAGCCCCCGGCCCTGACAGAGCTGGCTCTGTCCATGGACGTGGAGTGAGAAGGTTAATTCACTTCCTGCTCCAGAAACAGGACTCCACATATGGATGATTTCCTACACCATTTTATTTTCTGTCTCTCGTGAACCGCGGGCGTGGCCGACACTGATGACGGCTGAAACCGACAACGGTAACACAACAGTCACATCGTCACGGTGTGACTGTAGGGTGAGTCACACGGAAAATTTGTTCACGAACATCGTGTTTGTCCAATCACAGATCTCACGTCTACGTGACTTTCAGTTGGTCTTCGTTCACTGACCGGGACTGG